CTTTGTCAAAAAGAAACTTGGGATTTCTCTTGTTTTTTGTTATGAGCCTAGAAAAATATTCAGATCTAACAGTTTTCACTGTGTCATTTAAGGAGAGCATGAGATCTCGAAGATGGAGCCTGTGTACGTCAAGTTTGGTTTTCTTCCATAGTCGTTCTATTTTGCGGCATATTCTCCGTAAGGGGAATAACATTTTTTTAACCGACAAGTAATTTCAAATGCAACGTTTCTGTCCACACAGACAGTTTGTACAGTCTGTTATTCAAATGTTGCATAAAAATACTTCACGGAAATTTACCTTTATACTGTCTAGAATAAAGACCAGTTTCTTACCTGGCATGCTGACTGTTTGCTGAGGTAAACATACTCAGTTTTTGAAGTGATTTTGGGGGGGGATTGTAAAATAATGCAAAATACTAAATCGACACATATCACTTTTTTGACTCCTGATTTATTGCAAAGTTTTGATATTATTTAAATGTTAAAAAAATAATGTTTACAAAAATATTTTTATACACAAACAGAAGAAAGTCAATGCTGTTTTATTTATATAGCCACAAATCACAACAAGAGTTACATCAGAGCACTTTATATTGGAAGGTAAAGACGGGACAATATTAGAGAAACCCCTATGAGCAAGCACTTGGCAAGAGTGGGAAGGAAAAACTTCCTTTTAACAGGGAGAAACCCTCGCAGGTGGCAGGGTGGCACATACCTCTTCATATGAAAATCCCCTATATGTAAACAGAGTCAACAAAATAGTCACAAAAACATGATGGGGGTGTCAAGACATTGCCGGTCTCTCTGATCCTTTTGTCTTAATAGAGATCACGCAGAGATGTTTCAAAGTTTCACACGATCCTTTTATTACCCATTTTCTGGCAGCAGAGGGGCAGTTGCCCCCCTGTAGATGTGCCCCTGGTCAACACATAACAGTCTCGAGTTATTACTCATTAAGAATGTCGTGGATCATCTCCCCATCTTAAACTTAGTCTCATTTTGTAAATGTGATTCTGAGTCCTTACTGTGGGTCACATCTGAGGGCTTCTGTAGGACTGAGTCAAAGCCTTCTTGCAACTATAGGTACCACCCTGGTGGCCATTAAGAAAAAAGCAAGTTTCAGGCATTGTCTTCTTTCAATTTAACGAAAAAATAAAATCAAAAAGGAAAAAGCCACCGTCACAGCCATGTCGTAACAAAAGATTCATTTTATTAAATGGTTATGTACAAGACATTCCTGAATCAAAACAGCAAGTCCATAACGTTTCATCTTCTGTTACCTTTACATCTTCTCTTAATCTTTGTACCTCCCCCCCCCCCACAAAAACAACAACAGAGGACAAAAAGAAAAAACAAACAAACAGGTGTGCTTCAATTTTCAAAAAGAGTTTTAACCCCCCCCTTATTGCACCAGACCCTTACACACTTCAGTCCCAAGGTGGCTATGAGGGCGCCAGTCTTAAAGAAAAAAGGGGGGGAAATTACTGTAAGCCTGCATCCCTCAAAACAAGGACCGGTTAAATACAAAACATGGTCTGGGTAAGTACAATTTAATTTGTGTCTACAGTGGCTTTACCACAAACATCA